TGTTTGAGACGATCACGGCGAAATCTATGCAAGTTTGGTAAAAACATGCAAGCTCCGTTACAGAAAATTCGCCAGGGCTGGCTTTCACACATTAGTAAACGGCCACTTACGCGTGCGTAATTCATTTCACCGACCGCTAGTGCCCAGAAGAGATTAGTGCACGGAGAGAAATTACCGGAAAATTGTTTTATTTATGTTATCATAACCCACTTTTCACAGCATGGTCCTCTATGGCCGCCCGCCGCCCCCCTAGAAAAACTTTTCATCCTAGGGCATTGGGAATTCTCTATGGCCTCCAATGAGAATGGGTGGCCCAGATCACCAGATTAGAGTTCACAAGATCCGGAGCTATGGGATAGGTTACCCTATCCTGGGCTGGATACGTTCATGCCTGCCCCAACGACGGTTGGATGCGCAAGTTTTTAGAGCTCCATCCGATCCCACAGAGCTTCACTGTGGTGTCCTCAAGTCTCGGTACTAGGATAACGGCTATTCATCGTATGCATAAACGACGGAGTGAAAGTACTAACGTCGAACATACTACTCTTTGCGAATGATCTCAAAATTAGGAGGGTAATCAAACGAGTAAACGACTACACAGTACTGAGCTCGAACAGTGGTCGGCTCATAACATGCTTGAATTCAACCCAGTTAAGTGCAAACTAATGAGTATAACGCTCTAGAACATCTACGTAGATGGACTAGAACATGTCAATCACCGCACTTCTCAACACAATGATCGTTGGGTGCTCGCAAAAGACGATACCGGACGCGTATAACACATCAAAGAAGCGAAGAAAACCAACCATCACATAGGCCAACGAAGGGAAGACGTTTGGCCGGTCTAATCCTACCTACTTTTAGCGAATGCTCAACGATTACGTGAGACCACATGTAGAAGACGCCATTCAGATTTGGCACCTCTGGCAAAAAATGACCTCACAGCACTTGAGAAGCTACAACCAAGGGTGAACAACATGAAAAGGCGTTGCTCCAGCTCTTTATCAGTTGAGACTAAAGATGCTAGGAGTTTCGAGCCAACAATATCGCCTTCTCCGAAGTAAACTCATATCGATGTATCAGATCCTCAAGCATTCTAACCGACTTCGCCGACCGCTATTGAAACTGAGCCACAACAGCTCAAAGAGATGCCATTAACTAAAATTTGGTGACACAATATAGTCGGATGGAATTCCGCCAAAACTTGTACTAAATTAGTGCACCACATCGATTGTTCATCTGCTATAACGCGCCCAGTTGTCTTAGCATCTGCTACTTGGTCATCTTATTCCAACGCTACCTGTTCACTTGGTACCAATCAGAGTTACCAGCTGATTTCTGTTCTCATGAATCGGATTCCGATGGTTTCGTCGACACCCACGATGCTCGCTCAGTGGCCCTCTGTCAGTGTT